TGGCTGGGCTGGCTGTGTTACACTGGCTGTGTCTGGAAATACAGATTCCCAGGCCCCCATCCTTGTCATTTGACCACACTTTTTGTTATGTGCAGGAAGAACATACATAGTGAACAGCCGTGTCTTGGCCTTACTGGCACGCAGTGTTCGGGCAGGAATTTTGCATTTTTAAGGCAAAAAAATGGCTCCTTTTCCCTTTTTTGTTGTGTTGACTTTTAAAAGGGTTGAGCTCTGAGCCAAGTTACCTTTTTTCCCACCTCTCCTGCATTCTATTTTGTTTTCTTCAGTGAAAAAGAAGAAAACCCATATAAAGTCTTTTAATTGTGTTTCCTGGTGATGCAGCTGGTATTGGCTTCTAGTTTTGGTGGAGAAAGAGGCTGGGAGACATGCCCACTTCTGATTAATTTCATCAGTACTATGGGTTTCACAGGGTTGCCATTATGTATCCCCTATTTTTTAGCCTGAGTGGCTGAGCCAGTGAGAAGAAATTCACTCAAACTGTGGGTACTGTTTCCACATACCCCCCTCAGGTTGTTTAATAACTTTCCTTGCCCTTTCAGTCCCTTCCTCAGAATGTCCCTCTGAAAACCGATTGCCATCTGTAGCTCAGGCCTGAGCTGTGCCTTGTTCTGTGTCTGATCTCCTTAGTGTGTGACTGGCCTCATGGAAATTGTTAGAGCCAGGAAAAGAATTTTTGGCAAAATCATTAACTGCCCAGCAAAAATAATGCAAGCTCAAGGATAGCAGTAGCGTGTCTGGTTTAGTAACACTTGCTCTTAGAGTTGAGCAACCATTGTGAGAGGTACCATAATAATCATATTACAACCCCTTGTCTCCAGCTATTCCACTACATACAGAGGATATTGGGTCATCATCAAGCTGGGTTAAGTGATAAGCTTGCAGGGGAAGTGTAAGTAATGTTTGCAGAAATAAAGTCATGTCTCTTCTGAAAGACAGACAGACACATGCAGCCAAAAAAGCACTGTCTAGTTCCTCCTCCTCACTTCCCGCTTTGCCTCAGATGACTACCTTGCTAATATGCATTCAATTTTATCCAAACACCATTTAAAAATGTGTTTTAACACCACTTCTTCCATTAAGAATTCAAGTGCTGATAATTGCTCTTTCATCTTCCCACTGTGTGAGTTGATGAGTTGTTTTTACTCCCATCATTAGACCACTGTAAGCCCTTTAGGACAGGTAACTTCCCTGTTTGCTTTGATTTTTCTTTGTCATACTGCTGCGTATCTCAAACCACTGGTGAGTAATGTCTCTTGGCACTGATGCATGTCGAGTGCTGGACTGAACTGTGGCAGCAGCAGCAGTTCTCTCACTTGTCCAACCTGCCTCTCTGTAGGAGGTTACAGTCCCTGTGGCAAAGGCAGCTGAACATAGTGTTTTCTCTGCAGTCTTTGCAGTTCACAGCCTGATATATTGAACTGAAAATCAACAGCAGCTTGTTTGTGAGGCAGCAACAGTGTTGGAGGAGTGGTAAAGTAGTGGAGAAACACAGGGTGGATGGGGTGCAAGTTAGTCTTGGCAACCAGTTCTCATGGTCCCCATCAAATCTATGTTTGTCCTCCCCATCTTAGCTATGCTTCTTTTGTAAGTAATCTTAGCTACAAGAGCCTCTGTTTTTGCTTTTGTGGGAGCAATTCATTCCATCTTCTTTTCATTACACTTCAGGTGAAAGTGAAATGTGTAGGTTTGAATTTCTGAAAGTATGAATTGCTGGCCTGCCTTCTGCACTTGGCAGAGCCATCACTAAAACTTTTCTTGTCTGAGAGAAGTTAAGCAAATACTGTTGCCATAGGTAGGACAGGAAGATGTAATACAGTTTTTAGGGTTCTTGATATAAAAACATAGGCTGTCCTTTTGAGAGCCTAGACTGAGTCAATAAGCACTGAAGTGTTTATGGCAGTTTTAAGCAATGGAAGGTGGAAAATGATGACACATTTTTGTGTTCTGTAATAGATTTTTTTGATTTTGGTAGCTAAGGCCATATATTTGTGGTTACAAAAAACTTAACTATTATGTATTGGTCTTTTCTTTAAGGATACCAGAAGATTTCATTGTGGACTTTTCCAGTATAGTCTTTGGAAACAGGTTCGTATCTTCATGTATCTTGCATTGTGTAGGCAGCAGGGTTGCACAGAGCTGTGCTGATGGAAGTCCCAGGCCTATTGCAGGAACAGCAGAATTCTCTAAATAAATATGAACAAGACTTGTCCCATTATTTTGGTTCAACATAACATGTCCATCATGTGTCACTATATATGCAGTAAGTAGCTTTCATGCCAATTTCCAGGTTTTCTGTGATAATCACCCATCAGTTTTTATAATGTTCTACAGACTCTGTAAGGTGCATCAGTACTTAGAGATGAAAATGCATTGCAGAACTAAGTATTTTAATCACTGTTATCATTCAATTTAAAGCAAAGTGAAAGACTTGCTTTGTTGGGCGGCAAGCCACATACGCCTTTTACATGCTGTGGTTTATGGAAGCTTTCACAGGTAGCATTTAGTCAAATCTTAATGTACAGTTGAATTGGGAATTCACACTAGCTGACTTGATGAGACGTATGAGATATCAAGTGCTCTGATAGCTGTAACTCATTTTCTAAGCAGTAGCTCCAGAGGAAGTACTGAATCAAGAACTTTTTGAACCACCTAGCTCTTTTGTCCCTTCTAGGGATTCCTTTTTTCTACATGGTTCTCTGCTCAACCATATTCAGCTTATTTTACATCTAGAAATTGCTTGAACTTTTTGCATATGCAGAACTTTTCTCCTTGGAACTTGAGGTCACTCAGCACATAGCATCATTAACCCAACACTGCTCCAGATATTCTGCATGGAATCCCAGTAATCATAGTTGTGGTATTTCAGTTACCCTCACAAGGGTCTGAATGCTGCTACCAAAGTTAAAAATATTTTTCATTTCCTTGGTTAGGATCTTGGCTTAAAGCTAAAGGTTCTTGGAGTAAAAATAAATTCAGCCTTCTCATCTTTTCCTTGCTCTTCTGTCTGAATTATAGGTGTCAAGAATGCAAAATTCATGGTTGCAAAGTGGAAATATTGTTTGTGGTGGAGAAAGAAGATAAATTTAGATGTCATTTGAAGCATGCATGATTGTCTGTTTTCCACTGCGAAATCACGATGCTGGAAAATTTAGCTTTTTCTCATTTCAAAAGCTGTGATTATCCAGTGTAATCTTTTTCTGTGTTTTGAGACCAGAGAAGAGTACCTCAGATTTGATTTCTAGACAGTTCTGCTTTTATAATCTTAAATGTAACACTGAATCATACATATGCTTATTGAGTTGTAAATATATATGATTGTGATGGTAAGAGGAGTATTAGCATCTGATCAAAAATTCAGTATGAGCTAGATAACCCAGAAAAATCCAGTTTTAATACTTTTCCTGGCATCTTATCCTGGTTTTGAAATTTTGCTCAATAAACAACAGCTCTGAAGTACTGGAAATTTGACATTTGTATTTCAGTGTCTCCACAGTTCCATCAAGCTATGTAGACCAAAAGGAAAAAAAAACTTGCCACATTGAAACCATGAAAGAACTACATGAAATTATGTTTTTTAAGAGAAAGGATAACCCTAACTTCCCCTTCTCTGAATGTTTGTAATAAACTTACTGCTTTTTCATTTTAATAGGGTAGCTTTAGTTTCTACCAGGAGGGTGCATTCTGTGTGCTATTTGTCAGCATTTCACGCATACAGATTTGTTTATTCTCCCTGTTCAGTGGCCTGCTTGGCATGTCTTGTTATGTGCATAGGGAACCATCCAGAATTTGTCTTTAGAATTGTTAGGTCAGCTGCTGCTCCAGATTCTCTAATCTTTCATTTTCGAGTGCTCTTCTGTTGCATCCTTTGCAGATGATGTTCTTGTCACCAGGTGTATCATCCTTTCCACATATAATTTGGATTGTCTCTAACTGATCCATGATGCTTTACTTGTTCTAACTTCTGCCTCTGCACTATGTGCTGACAGTACATTGCAGCTGTTGGCACAGAGTGTTTACAAAATGTAATTATAGTATATAGGTTTTGGATATAAGATCCATTGAGTCTTTTCTACTCCATTTTGCTTTTCCTTTTAGAACTCAATGGCTTGATTAATGGCCTGTATAATTTCTGTATGAATGTTGGCCACTATGCACATTCTGTCATCCTTACAAAGATTCTTGCTGTTCCAGCTGTGATCTTGTCCAAGCTTGGAAGGTGCTGACAGAAGCTGAAACTAAGCTATAAAAGCTGTGACTCTTTCTGAGGGAGTGGTGCTGAAGTACAGTCCTGACCAGAACTAAAGCTTTGTGGTTTGGCCACAGAAATGCCATAGCTTAATAATATTCAGAAGCTTCACCTCTATTTGGGCATTGCTGATCTTCCCCACCACCGCTAACTAAAACATCTTCCTGTTTTCTCTACTTTCTTCCCCCGAAACACTGGTGCTGCACTGAATGGATGATCTTCCATTGATGGGGTTAGCGTGCCTTAAGGAAGCAGTAGCAGTGTGGCTATTTTTAGGCATTCCCCAAATGAAGCAATGCTCTGGCAGCAGCTTGCCACTGAGGGAAAGGCTTGTTCTTACTGTTTAATCCTGCTAATGACCATTCTTGATTCCAGCTCCTAATGGTTGCACCCAGCTGTGGTAACCTACTTCCTACACTGTAGCTGACAGTGAGTAAGAACCAGCTGATATTTTCTGCTCATTCCTGTACAGTACTATTAGGAATATGTGTCACTTCTGACACCCCTCCTAAGCCCCTCCCCAAAAAAAGGATAAATTCTTTTTTACATTGCTGCTGCTAAATGCAAGAATGATGGAGGATCTCAGCCTGTCAGTCCTGAGGACCTTATCAAATCATTAGTCCTTCTGTGAAGTTTCTAAAGGCACCAGCTAACTGGCACACAAGAATCTGAGTTGGGATGTTAAACTATCATTCCTGCAATCCTGGATTTGTTCAGAGAGGATTCCTTTCTGATTAGTCTCTAATTAGATTATGTCTAGCACCATGGATAAAGGATGTAACCATTCTTATCCTGCCCTTAGCAGGAGTACTGGGGTAGCTTTGAAATGTACTGGAAATAACTTCAGGACGCATGGGATGAAGGTACTTCTGCATGTATGTCTAAAAATGGGTGGTTGTTATGTCTGTGTATCATATTTGGCTTGTTCAGTTACCCTGAGCTTAAGATGCTGTTAAAATTTCAAAGATTGTCAACCATCTGAAGCTGAACCG